GAGGCTGAGGCAAGAAAATTGCTTGAACCCAGGAGGTGGAAGTTGCAGTGAGCTGAGATCATGCCATTGCACTCCAGCCTGGGCAACAGAGCGAGTCTCTGTCTCAAAAAAAAAAAAAAAAGAAAAAGAAAGAAAAGAAAGAAAATTTCCTGGAACTGAAAAATACCACTTTCCAGATTGAAAGGGCCTACTAGAGTAGATGAAACAGACCAAACCAAGGCATGGCACGCAATGATGAAATTTTAGAACATTGTGCGATGAAGACCCTAAAAGCATCTAGAAAGAAAATAATTAAGCAGTTGAAAAGGATCATGGGTGAGAATGGACCTAGACTTTTTGAAAGCAACACTGGAGTTAGAAGACAATTAAGTGATACCTTCAAAATTCTGAAGGAAAATTATTCTCGATCTATAATACTTAGTCCTCTGGGTTCACAATTCCACGAGCAACATTCACCAGTGCACCATGGAACACAATGAGAATCTTTGCTCCTCGGGTTTGTGCAGTGCAATGCTTTGGCTCTACCCTTCCTCAGGCAGCCATTGGATGATGTGCTTCACCAAGATGAGGGAGTAAACCAAGGAAGGAGAAGGCATGGGAGAAAAGGAACAGAGGAGTCAACATAGGAGAGGGGCAGATAAATCCTCAGACTGTTGGTGTGGGGAGACCCTGGATGGCAGCTGGGCTTAGAAGGCAACTAGTCAGATTCGAGCAGGTCAGAAAGTTCCAAGGGACATTTCTTCAAGATGGTCGTTATGGCCTGCATGTTGGTTTCCTCCCCAAATTTATAGGTTGAATCACTAACCTCCAACGTGATGATATTGAGGTGGGTAATTGAGCGGTAATTAGGTTTAGATGAGGTCATGAGGGAGAGCTCCCATGATGGAATTACTACCCTTATAAGAAGAGGAAGAGACACCAGAACTTCCTCTCTCCACTATGTGAGGACACAGTAAAAAAGCGACTGTCAGCAAGCCAGGAAGTGGGCCCCCACCAGAACCTGACCATGCTGGCACCCTGATCTAGCCTCTAGAACTATCAGGAGAAATAAATGTCTGTTGTTTAAGCCACCCAGTCTATGACAGTTTGTTGTAGCAGACTGAACTAAGACCAAAGTGAAAGAGAAATTCCGATTTTGTCTCATCATGAAAGAGGAGTTTTGGCGTTGAAATATGATACGCATACAGAAACTGAGCAAAGGGAAAAGAAGACCAGGATTAACAGGGAAACAAAGTTCTGTGGACATGATCACAGCACACGGCATGGCTTTGCTGAGAGTACTGTTTACACTGACCTAAGAATATAACACCAAAGTATCAAGCTAATACAAACTATGATATTGAGAGGGCAGGGAATGAGTGGTCAGGGTAGAGTCGTAATGCAGAGAATTAAGTCTGCATCACTATAATGGGAAGTCAATAAATTATATCTAAAACAGAAAAAAATCTAGAAGTATTTACATACACATGGCATTTAGAAATTTGGAGCTAATACCAAAAGAGTCAGCTAAAAGAGTTGAAAATGGTTGGCTTTGGGGAAGGAGCAATGTTATTACTACTATTATTATTTTTTGGAGACAGAGTCTTGCTTTGTCACTCAAATTGGAGTGCACCGATATGATCTTGGCTCACTGCAACCTCCGTCTCCTGAGTTCAATCGATTCTCCTGCCTCAGCCTATAGAGTAGCTGGGATTACAGGCACACACCACCACACCCGGCTGATTTCTGTAATTTTTGTAGAGACAAGGTTTCACCATGTTGGCCAGGCTGGTCTCGAACTCCTGACTTCAAGTGATCCGCCTGCCTCAGCCTCCCAAGGTGTTGGGATTACAGGCGCAATCCACTGCGCTCTGCACTATTATTTTTTAAATGAAGCCTATTAGAATTTCTTGATTCCTTAAATCTGTGCTTTTCAGACTATCCTTGGTGAAGGAAACAGGTTTCTTTTCAAAATCCTTTGTAAAATACAATACAAATGAATAACGAGCAACAGGCACTTGGATATGGGTAATGCTGAATTGCTACAGATTCTTCCTCTCAATTTTGGCACTTTTATCATGATGGACAAGTAACAGTTTACAGACAAACACTGAGCTGCAGAGACACTGTTTTCATCTATGATTTATGTATAACATTGACTAAAAAAACACTTTCAAAATGGGTGCACAACAACGTAACTGCACTTAACTGTGCACTTAATGGTTAAGATGGTAAAAAAAAAAAAATCCAAACAAAGTTGTAAAGGGAATTCACACCTGCTAGGAGGGCCGTAATCAAAACAATGCAAACCAACAAGTGTTGGTGAGGATGTGGAGAAACTGGAACCCTCGTCTATTGCTAGTGAGAATGTAAAGTTGTGCAACCAGTGATGGAGTTTGTGGTTCCTCAGAAAGAACTACTGGGAGCGGCGGCGGTGTCGGCAGCGGCTGTAACGAAGAGAGTTTGGCGCGATGTCTCACACCATTTTGCTGGTACAGACTACCAAGAGGCCAGAAGGCAGAACTTATGCTGACTATGAATCTGTGAATGAATGCATGGAAGGCATTTGTGAAATGTATGAAGACATGTGAAAAGAATGAATCCCAACAGTCCCTCTATCACATATGACATCAGTCAGTTGTTTGATTTCAT